AGCGAAACCTTGACATCATCAATAGCTGTGACACTGTGTGAGCTGTGATACTTCTTTCACTCCCGTGCTGAGGCGCTGCGCCAGTTCCAGACCTCCGCCCCCTCGCTCGAGTTTCCCTGCCCAATAAGTTCCCGCAGGTCGGGGACATCTATGAACTACAATTTAGACTTAAAGCCTAGATTTCTGACTAGAAGGCAAATGTGATGCTGAAAATAGCTGGACACGGTCTCATACAATATCCAACTGATGCCATCTCAAATACTGGGCAAGTACCCTTGCTGAGGAGTGAAGGAAAAAGATTTAACAGTCATTACAGAAGAATGCTTAGTGGTTTTTAAAAAGGGAGTCATTTTACAAAATTATACCATACGATTCTTTTAAAAATATATTTATTTAAATTTATTTTATTATTATTATTATTTTTGAATTTTATATAGGGCATGTGCACTCACGAGAGAGAGAAAGAGACAGAGACAGAGAGAAAGTGAGAAAGCAAGCTGCCAGGTCCAGGACTCAAACTGCGCTAGGCCACATGGAAGTCCAGTGTCCCAACAACCACACCATCTGCTGGCCTCTGCCATATGATTCTTTTGTTTTATTTTTTCTGAAGTTCCTTTTTTATCTTTTTTCCATTTATTTATTAATTTTTACATTTTTTCAGAAACATTTACATATCAAAAAATTTGGGGCACCAGCAGTTGGCATAATGGCTATGTCGCTGGACTCCCATGTAGTTAGCTGTCTGGGGATTGGATTTATTTCTGGGGTACTCACTGTCACCTGGAGAGGTGAAGTTCTCGGAACAACTGATGAAGCTCAGTTATTCTCTGGTGCATTCTGAAGGTTCAACGAGTGGGCACCAACTCCCGGCTGCCTGATCAGGGGTTTCAGAAGGGTCTCCGCTCTATCCTTCCTTCAGATTTTTCCCACATCTGTAGGCAAGAGCGTGTTGCTGCTCAGACCCCCTCAGTCCTCAGGACTGACAAGAACAAAGCATTTCCAGTAACTTGCCTGGATGCGTTGAAGTGGGTCAAACTGCTCTGTCTACTCTGTGGACGCACAGGGTCCTGGAATTAGGGACTCCAACTGTTCTGTGGAAGAAACCAGTGCCTCTGAGCAATTGAAAGTGTGGCCCGGGGCCACTCCCTGGGCGCTGGAAGGTTCTGAGACGTAAAAGTTCTTTCCAACTGCCTAACTGGATGTCAGAAGGAGTTCCCCTGCTTTCTTGCCCTCAAGCCCAGAATCCTTCATACAGGTCTAATCAAAATAAGTAGGAGGTCCTCTTTCTCTTGGAACTCTAAACTCTGCTGAACAGCCATGGGGACCATGAAGATTCCATTGCATTTAGGTAGGGATGGAACCATGCCCTTAGGAATGATGAACCTGCTAGTTTTGCTTCTGTAATTTGCTTTTGCTTTCACATTGTAAAAACCTGCTCCTCACCCTTTCAAGTCCAGCACACCTTGTCATTATGAATCAATTCATGTCATCTCGGAGGATTGTGAATTTTTACCCATTGAAGCTCCCCTCTCCTTTCACGCGGGGCTGCGGGGTTATGGGAGACGTGAGTACCTCCCCCCGTAGGCCACTGGCTTAATCAATAAGCTCCAATAAATTTGGCTACAACCTCTTATTCCTCACTGATTAGACTATAATAGTGTGGTGGATAAAGGCGCTGGATTACCACATGGCCGAACACAGTGTGAGTCCCGGACCTGGCAGCTTGCTTTCTCACTTTCCCTTTCTCTCTGTCTCTGGTCAATAATAATAACAATAATAATAATAACAACAAAATAGAATTAAATAAATAAATAATTTTAAAAATGATATTTACAGGAAAATCCCAATGTCTCTTGGCACCCCCCAGGAAGCTAACCGGATTTATTGCTGGGCTCATCTCTTCTGTTATCCTATATTGCCAAAGATGGGGTAACAGTTGGGATAGGTATCGGAACATGGGTTTCGCCTTGGCTACGTTCCTTGGCTCTCCCTTTCCTATTATAGTTTCCCTCGAGGTGGTCGGTGCAGGGTACCAGGGTCAGTATGAGAGTGTGGGTAGGACGAGTCACTGATTCAGGCTGTGGATGCCACCGCACACTCCTCCTCATGAGCGTAGTAAAAAGTCCCGACTGTTTCATTTGCCAGAGCATGGAGATGAAGAAGGACGCTCCAGGAACCAGCAGTTAGCGTAATGGCTATGTCGCTGGACTCCCACGGAGTCGACCGCGTCCCGGACCTGGTGGCTTAAAACTCACGCCGGGCGCGTGTGCGTGCGTGCCCAAGATCCCGAGAGGAGAATGGAGGAGAAGGGATTGTGGCGTGACTATCCCCCCTGGGGGGTGATTTCTCGATTTCTGTCTCTACTGTCTCTCTCTGTCTCTCTGGTGAGCGCACGCGCCCTATAGCGAAAATCTCTCCAAAAAAAAAAAAGAGAGAACTCAAACAAATTAATTTAAATGCTTTTCAAGTCTACCTAACTTAAATAAGTAAGCCGGCTTCAATATCGTAAAAGAAAAAGTTTAATACGGGAAAGCTTCAGTTTCCAATGTAGTTTGTCCAGGGCTTACTGATCAGACAACAATCGTGTTTATGATAATATGGTTTGTTTAATGATTTTACGTAGTAAATCTATAAC